TATCATTTTACTACTCTCTCCCCCTCTGTTCCACCTCTCCTCTCCTCCTCTTGACCTCACCTGTTGATTTTTTCTATTTAAAGCTGTATTACAGACGAGAGCTCCAGATTTTACCTCAGCTTATTTGTGCAGCTGAATTGATTTATCAGTAATTAACAAATCAGCAGATATTTTTAGATAATCTGTTTATTTTTATCGTTCAAGCAAAAGTGACGAATGATTCGAGTTTGTCAGACGTGAAGATTTGATGCTTTGACACATAACTGGACAAAACAATTTATATAAAAAACTAAATGATTATTGTAGTTTGATTTCTTTTTTTAGTCCAATAAAAGTTTATAAACAGCAGGAAAATGTGATGATTTTAATATCTGAGAAGCTGAAACCATCAAATATTTAAACAATTCACAAATAGTGGCAGATTAGCACAGATCAGATCCTATCGTTACATAATTGTATTTATTGTATTGGTTTCAAACTTTTTGAGTTTGTCTGCACAGATTGATTTTTATCTGGTAATAAGTGTATAAATAAATAATAAATAACCACCTACTTTATCTCTGAGCTGCTCTGAAATGAGTGAGAGTACAAAACTTCAAATTAAATAAATTTACGTACAAGTGATGTTCACACCCCTCTGACTGTGAGATGAACCTCAAGCTTAGTCAGCTGAATACTTTGTAAACTACTCGTCATTAATCACCGCAGGGAAAAAAACGAAGCCTCATCCCTGACTTGATTTCTCAACAGTGTGATTTACTGAACTTAATTCTAATGTATTCCTACATGATTTCATTCATTACTTAAGTCCCAGGTTGACATTGACTCCTCAGAAACAACTTGACTTACTTTAAAATAGAATCAACATGTTTGAGAAATCATTATCGTTCCCACGCAGACGGTGGACTCCTCGTCAGGTGTACACACACACACAAGCTCTGTGGAGTGTGGAGGTGAGATGAACAGGAGAACCGTCATTATCATTCCTGTCAGTCACCAGAGGGGTCCACAACTGGAGACACACACAGGTTTGCACAACTGTCCTTGTTAGGATTTTTGCAACCAAAACTTTACCCTAACCATGACCAGTTCATACCTGACCTGAACCTAACTTTAACCAGTACGTTTAGCCTCATTAGGACCAGAGGTTTGGTCCCCAACAGGTCCACTGGTCCTGACTAGGTCAGTCCTGGAGAAGGTCCCAGAGAGGTGACAAAAATTAGTACACACACACTCATGTTTGCACAATTATCCTTGTTAGTATTTATGCAATCAAAGCTTTAACCTAACCATGATGACCAATTCAGACCTAACCTTAACCTTACCACAGTTCACATCTTACTTGTTGAGCCTCATTAGGATCAATCTTATGATTGACCAAAGCCAATCTTAACTCTTAAACTAGCCTTTGAAGTAGTGTGGACCGGCCAAAATACTCTCACAATGATTACCAGGAGAACCAAAATCCTCCCTCAAACCACACACACACACACACACACACACACACACACACACACACACACACAATAGGGAGTAGGAACACAAACATCATCATGCTTGGAAATGAGGGTTTTCCTCTTGCTGGCTTAAAGTGTCTTCCTGCTAAGGCATGCAAACACACACACACACACACACTCTCCACTGCATGCAAGTTCTACTTTTGACCTCATATTTCACACCTAACTACAGAGAAACTAAAAAGAAGAAATCGACTTTGCCGTCAAAGTAGAAGTTGGAAAATGTCTACTCTGTTAATGACTCGGTGTCATCTTCAGAGAGGAGAGCAGGTCGCAACAAGCATTTTGTTCCCTGTACAGTACTCAACACACATAACATGCAGTACCCAAGAGCCCACCCTCACACACACACACACACACACACACACACACACACACACACACACACACACACACACTTTCCAAAACAGGATTTTTACTGTCACAGAGAGAGAGATTCATGGTGGATGATCTTTGCTCTTCCTCCTGACCCCAAGTTTAAAAAAAGGGGCCACAATGTGCAGGAGGGAAAAATGTGCAAACAAGCATGAATGCATTCACAGAGAATGGAAGTAATTCATCATCAGAGACACACAGAGACAAGCAGAGATGCACCACACACAACTCAATCCAATAAGCAGCCAGAAATCAGACTGTGTATCACCAACTCTGTGAAAGCCTGAAACTGAGATAAGATGAATGATTTTTTATGGAGAATTCCCAAACACAAGTATCCAGAAGTGTTGTTGCTCAGTTTTGTGCAACACTGTGTTTGGCTTATTTTAAACAAGATGAAACAAATGAGGAGTTGCAGAGTTTAGTTGAGCTTCTGAGGATAAAACCACTGTCTGAGAATTGTGTTTTGAAAGTAGATTATTCAAACATGAAGTGAAGCACCTTCTCCTGCTCTTGCACAAAGCTCCATGAGGCAACATGTGGATTGTGTGTGATAGATCTATAAATCATCTGTGTCAGTGTTGGGCAATCTCGCGCGTCACTGCGCAAACTTCCCAATGCGAGCTGGGTTTTTATCTTTATACAAATCCTGAGGAACGCACAGGATCACACTTTCAGCCATGTTGTCAGGAGAAGAGGAACACAACTCACCCACAGTCACGCAGAGAATATCTACCACGATCAGGATCAGCTTCTTCTTTCCCTGCTCGCTCATGTTTCCTCCTCCAGCGTCCATTCACCTACATTAATTTTTAAAAAGCGCGTTTAAAAGCAGAGAGGGCGCAGTGAGGAACTGGAAGGAACAGCTGGAGGGACTCTCAGAAATATTAGTCCACACGGTCCTTGTTCTTCCGGCTCCTGTGAGTACCTGTCTGCCGCCTGTCTGTCTGTCTGTCTGTCTGCCTGCGCGCTTCAGGTGAGCCGAAGCCACAGGACGCGCAGCTGAGTCCTTGGTTTAGGCCGGCCTCTTTACGCACGGAGGGGGGCGCACACACAAACACACACACACACACACACACACACACACACACACAC